CAAAATGAGGGGTCTGTGTTTATTTTTGATCAAGAAATCTTCAGAATGAGACCCACAGAGAGTGAACTTATGGTTGCGGGGGGGCGGGGGAGCTAGGGATAGTTAGGCAGTTTGGGATAGACATGTACGCACTGCTGTGTTTAAAATGGATAACCAACAAGGACCTGTTGTAGAGCACAGGCCACTCTGCTCAGCGTTATGGGGCAGCCTGGATGGGAGGGGAGTTTGGGGGAGAATGGGTACATATATCTGTATGGCTGAGTCCCTTCACTGTTCACTTGAGACTACCACAACATTGTTAATTGGCTATACCCAAATACAAAATAAAAAGTTACAAAATCAAACCAAATGAAAACAAATGTTTCTTTAAGAAAATCTTCATTTATTGGATCCTTTGAGATAGTAGGCTTTGCAAGTACCTTGAAAATGACTCAATCTTCAAAAACCTGAGTCACATTTTTCCCAGAAACGCTCTTGTGGAAAGCAGCACATCTATCTTAGTAACTAAATGTAGATCTCTTAAAAAGTGAAAAAGAACCCTGAATCTGCTGCTGATGATTTTGGCAGCTGAGCAGGGTGGAGGTAAGGGTGGGGGAAGGGAAAACTAACCAGAAATTGTTGGTTTTTTGTTTTTTTTTTAAAGGCTCATGAGAAGGAAATTCAGTATTTTTTTCTCACTGAATCTGGAAGGCTGCCTATTTTGGGCCAATTCCTAGTTGTGGATGGGACGTACGAAGATGGAGCAACTTTGCCTGTATCACCATGCAGGTTAAAATGCTAGGTTTAAAATAAGCTCACTTATGAAACTTGAGTGACATTAGAACCCAAACAGAGTAAAAAGCATTCCAATCAGGTCTGTGGTTCTCTTAACATCTTCATAAATTCAGTAACACTTAAATATCACCTACGAGGACCATAAAAGACATTCTCAAGTCTTTTTCTTAACACGTTAGGGAAAGCGTAGTAAATATGTACTATAAAATGCTATTTTTAAAACATGATTGATTTGCTACGTTATAAATTCAGCAGCACATGAAACCAAGGAGCATATATACCAAGAGCTGCCCTCCTTTTTTTTTTCAACGAGTAGCTACTTCTCATCTTTCAGTACTCTTGGAGGCAGACTAGGGAGCGGGGAGGTGGGTGGGGAGCAGGGTCTGGTGTGGGGGACTTGGCAGTTGGAGGGGAAGGAGTGACAAGGGCTGGATGGCAACCAGCTCTGGAACTTACCAAGTCAGGTACCATGATCTGCCCTGTGTCTGTATCCCCAGTGAGGAATTTTTCCTGGCATTATTGTGCAGAAACATACAACATGGGCCTTCACAAGGCACTGTGTAAGTGCTGAAGTCCTGTGTAAATTTAATTATTAGCATGAACTGAAGGTACTGTCATCGTTTAACTCAGCCGACCTTTTAAATGGATAACCAACCTTGAGGCTTAATTGGATTTAAAAAAATCAATTTCTAGCCACTGCCTAGTGTGGAAATGAAGCGCTACATTCTCAGGCAATTGTAAAATCAGTTCTGCTCGGGACTATTTTTTATTATTTACAACAAGAACATGACACGATCCATCTCAGCAAGCATTTTGTGTAGACGCACACCTTTTATATAAATAAGCACAGACGGACACGTATGCACACCGAGGCAGGTCACCAAAGCAGCGTTGCTGTCTGCCCAGCGGCAGCCTGAGTCATCGGCAGCAATCTCTCTGCACCAATTACACGAAAAACTGAACTCAGGGTAATGACATACCACTGTTTGCACATCTCTTAGCCTTAGTCTGCTCTAATCTCTGTAACAAGAAAAAACAATCCTTGAAGCTTTTACCAAATCACATCTTGACCATTAAGTCTTTCTGGAAGAAGGTCATTTAATTTTATGGAAAGAGATGAACAATTAAAAGGGCATAAACAAAAAAAGTGCTGATCTGAAAATTACAAAGTTGAAGATGTGAGTTCCCGCCGCGGGTTTCACTGGTCATGTGACCTTGGCGAGCCCTCGGTGGGCTCTGTTTCCCCATCTGGGAAAGGGGGAAGTTTCTGGGGGAGAGGGGGAGTTGCTCTATTTCCCTGATAGCTGATGAAAATGGAGGTCTATTATGGTGCCCTGAGTCAGAACACCAAGTTAAAAAACACACACAAAAAAACATTTGATTCCCTCAGCACTTCCTGTGAGAAAAAGAGATGAAATGATGCTAACCAGAGCCCTTCTGCTTCCACCTCCATTACGACATCTACAAAACGAGAGAAACCATCATTACTGATGGTGGAATTTGGACAATTAGCTAAAAGCAGTTGTAGACTAACAGTTGACAAACGAACTGCTAAGCCCAGTAGTCTATGTTAACTAAGCCCTATTTAAATGTGCATTGTGTTGAATGCCATCTCACTTAAGGGATTCATTTTAGGCAGATTATGGAGCTGAGATAGGGACCTGTGTGTGCAGTTATCCTTAACATTCAGGACAGGCCAGAAAGCTCATTTGGACAACTGGATAAACGATTCTTTTGCCTCAATTGACCAGATAATTGTTCACAAGTCCTTGCCATCTGATGCTGTGGAATGTCCCTTTGTGCTGTAAGAAGACAGGTAGACTGCCGACAGTGGCATGGAATCGGGGAGGGGTCTGCATACAGCTGATGCCCACTGTCCAACTCCAGGTCCTGAGTTGGAGGCACTTTCAGACGTTACCTTCTTTGGAAATGATCTATCATTCCCCATCATTTCACTTAGCCAAACTCTACGGTTTCAAGGGACCCAAAAGATCTAGAGAAACTGTTTTTAAGTGACATACCCTAAAATGTCACCTTTCTTAAAGAGTTCCCCCACCTAGAGCTCTCTAAACTTCTTGTTCCCAACCAGGAGGATGAGAGGACCTGTGAAAACTTCCTGAGACTTGAGAGGAAGTCAGCCATCACCCACCCCCAAACTTTTTTTTGCTGAGGAATCTGGCCACTGAGATCACGTCCGTGAACTTATAGGATTGGGGTGGGGGTGGGGGTGGTCAGTGTAGGGCTCAGGAAAGTTTGACATCGACATGTGGAGGTTCCACATGTCCACCCAGCACCCTCATTACTTTCATTACCCATCATTTTGAAAGGGGGGTGTTTCCCCTCAATTTGAAAACAAAACTAAACAAAAACATCAGGCAGCAAGGTGAGAGGTGGCGTTTGGGTGCTCAAGGGAATTTGGAGAGAGGAAATTAGGTATTTTAGGCTCACACACAGAGGAATCTACAACTTGGGCCCACATGTCCACAGGGCTGAGTTTCAAAGTGTGACTGACATTAAACATACCAAGTCCTCTAAGTCTGAGAAGAGGACACTTAGGAAAACTAGTTAATGGATCAGAGTACCAAAGGGCTGTCCCATCCTCCCTACACCCAACTAATGCATGTTTCCTCTGTGGAGACAGGGAGCTGGTTTCTCGAGATGGTGCCCACATTTTGACTAGAATAGGGGATCCTGGTGATCAAAATTAAGCAGGTAGAGTAACATGCTGATAAAATGAGAAACAAATGATGCCAACCCAGGTGAGGCATTCTGTTGGGGCTACACGACTAAGACAGACAAACCAAGAGTTCTAGGCTCCAACTCTGGGTTAGGCTCAGAGTCCTGAAAGGATGTTCAGGACATCAACAGGGTCAACTACACGCGGCCTGTCTTACCACCAATGTGGGTCCTCGGGAGGAACCACCCACGGCACGTCATGCCTGAGGACCAGCACCCAGGGAGCTCGCTGCCCACAGGCAACATTTCCAATCACCATACCTGCAGATGCCTGGAGGTTCACCTCAAGAGAAAGCCACCCAAACCTCAGTGGGAACATGACCCACAAGGTCATCTCTTCAGAGCATGAGCCCAGCAGGGCACACATGTGCGGCTACTTCTCCCACAGCCCATCAGGATGGAGGGTTTCTTTAATGTCTCGTGTTCGTTGCTCAGACGTGTCCGACTCTTTTCAACCCCATGGACTGTAGCCTGCCAGACCCCACTGTCCACGGGATTTTCCGGGCAAGAATACTGGAGCGGGTTGTTATTCCCTTCTCCAGGGGATCTTCCTGACCCACAGATTGAACCCGGGTCTCCTGCGTTGCAGGCAGATTCTCTATGGTATGTGCCACCAGGGAAGCCCTTGGAGAGAACTGACAGTGGACACAGCCAACGGCTGACAGCAAGCTGGGGGCTGGAGTTCTGGTCCAGAAACAAGGTGAGCGCACAGGAAGAGGTGGTGGTTTCTTTCACATCGTTCAATGGGCTCTGAAGATACGGCACTGCTCCGAGCAGGGGGCAACCTCCAAGGCCTGAAAGCCCAGTGGGCCCAGGGGACCCACCCACAATCAGCTCACACATTCGTGTGGACAGACCCTGGGGTGTACCCAAAGACAGATGCCTGGTGCACCCCATCCCCCAGGGGCACCTCCCACCAGGCACACATGGGTGAGAGTTAGCATTGAGTTAACACAGAACCATCCTGACCTTTGAGAAGAAATACAGTCCTGGCTTTGAGTACTACTGGCAAACACTATCCCTGAAAATTTCAGAGTAGCAGGGCAGGAGAATGTCAAAGAAGTTCAAGTTTCTGGGAGCCTGTGTGTAAGAATTACTTCTCAACAAGGCACACGTAACTACAGTTTTCCTTAAAGACCTCCAGTGCTTCTCCGTGTGTGCCTAAAGCATACATTTTCTAAGAAATGTAATTATCTGACATTTTTGTATGAAAGTCAAAGTGTTAGTCACTCAATCATGTCTGACACTTTGTGACCCCATGGACTGCAACCCACCAGGCTCCTGTCCATGGGACAGTGGGGAGCATACTGATGGATCCCCTTGAAAGCATTCATCAGACAGACAGACTCCCCAACACTGAGGCAAAGGCCTCAGCACACAACAGTCATTGGTCCCCAACAGTCACATAGCAGGCCAGGCTCCCCCAAAACACAGACGCACTTGAGGAAAACAGGCAGCCCATCATTAAAATTACCACTAGGATAACAGAGTGTTCTTGAATCTGCATGATTGCTTTATTGTACAAAAAGTTTCCAGTAACAGTAAATTAGTTTTCTAAAAAGGACAAAAAAAAAGTTGTTTTGGATAGAAGCGCTTCACTAATTGCTTTATTTAAGCACACACACACACAAAAGTCTTATCTGACCAATTAGGTTGGAAGGTTTTTATTACCTTTAAGAAGCCATTAGCTAGGATAAAACACTGAAAGCACTTGTGTCAAAACAAATAAATAATGCTCTCTCAATTAGCAGAGACTGCGGTAAATTCGTTAGAGATGAACACGGCTTCACGCCCAGGGTCGGCAAGTCAGCACCTCCCCCCACCCCAAATTAATAAAACAAGAGACAGTAGTGCTCAGTTCCCATCTCAGGAAAGATCAGGAGCTCCAGGGACCTGACAGGCAACGTCTACGGGTCCCCCCTCCAGCCCTGGTCAACAGAGCCACGCAGGCCACGTCACTGAGGGCAGGGGTCCAGGCTGAGCCTGGAGGTGCCCTCCCGGCGGTGAGGGCAGAGCCAGGAGGGGCCACCTTTGCCACCAGAGCCACAGGTGAGACGAGGAAAGAGAGGAGGACCCTCAGGTGCCAGGACACTAATTGCTAACTTCCCCCTCCAGCCTGCAGTGCTGCTGACCTGTCCCCAAGAGGAGGCTCAACAGAACAAGACAGAGTTTCGTGGAGCCTGGCAAGTTGGAGCACGTGCTCCAGCTGCTGCTGGCCTGGGGACACGGTGATGGCAGCAGATGGCTGGGCTTCAGCTGGTGCTGCCGGGGATCCAGTCAGAGGGGGCAGCCGTTGGGATCCCACACAGGATCCTTCAAGCCATCCCTAGTCAGATTCATTATTTTACCCAAAGGAATTGGGTAAAAAAATCCAACTCATCACCCTGTTCACTAAAAATAAATACAAATAAATAGTGATCCTTTCTTAAAGGATTACGTTCCTTAGAGGGTCAGTGAGCCTGAGCACTGGAAAAGCTCCCACAATAACCCTTAACACCAACCACTCCAGGCTGTCTAGGAGGGGAGCCCCTCATCTGGACAGACCCCATCCTGGGAGCAGCTTGACTCCCTGAGCTCAAAACCACTGAGGCTAAAGAGCCTACAGCTGCTCTCAAGGACCAAGGAAGCCCCCACTTCAAGGGCAACTGAGGAGGGGCTGGACCTTATTCCCAGCCTTCCTCCCTAGTAAGTAGCTGTCAGGGAATGCCACGCTACTTCCCGATATGCCAGGGACGCCTTTAGATCACCCCATGCCCACGTCAGGAACAGGGAACCAGGGACTGTCCAGCTTCATGAACCACTTGGGACAGAAAGGCTGGGCAGTGTCTGGGTTTTAAGCACATGACCTGTTTGGACAACTTGAATCTCAGGGTTTGAGTTTAAATTTCTGGAAATAACTTCAAAGTCAATTCTAGAGAGACAGGTTATGTGACTGGTCCAAATAAAACATAGCACACTTAATGAGGTCATGCTCTTTTAAAACATTTTACAAGAGGTAAAAACAATGGAAAGCCATCAAAAATGACACAAAGACCATTAAAAAAAACTATACTGGTGTCTCGAGACCCATTAAAACATGAACAACTTCAGGTTTCAAAGTTATCATCACTTTCCACACTACTCCACAGGTCCAGGAATATGTTTGAGCACCATATTGATAATAGGTAAGTGAACCACAAAGTCCTGCTTTGGAGAACAGATTCATGCTCACACAAATGAGGGGTTTTCTGAGCCAAGATTTTCACAAATGGCAGGAATATGCCTACCTTCTGGGCATGTTCAATGGCAATGGAAGGGCCAATAAATCAAACCACTGGGGGAATATTTTACTTTGAAATGGAGTCATGTTTGGTTAATAATTTGAGACCCACTAATCCTAAATGGGGTGACCCATTTAAAATGGCCTCTGTGTAAATTCACAGTCCATTAAGTGGGGTCTAGCTTGAACAGGTCTTTATGCAGTTATTATATAAGTAACGGACTGAGCAAGGATGGCTGGGGATGGGCACGGGGACACACCGACCACCTCTGGTGACTCTTCGACACTGCCGAGCGCCTTTTTGATGTGAGGTTCTTTCAAATCATCAACTTTTGCATTTGGGTGGTTCTGCTTAGTAACCCCTTTCGGTTTACAGGAGAAAATGCAGTGCACAAATCTGAGATGAGGAATACTCCATTTACAATTAATTTAAACTTATGAAGCTGTTTTAACTGGCCCATCTAAATGTGTTAATTAACATCGATGATGGTTTCTTATTTTTCACACTTTGTTACTCTGATCATTAACAGTGATGGAAAAGTTAAATTAAGTTAATGGGGAACGGATTATAAATTCTTAAAGGATTTCTCAGTTTGTTTTCAACTGGAAAATATATAGACAAAGATGAAGAGGCATTTTTGCCTCTACGCATAAATTTCTGGTACCAAATTTCTTAAAAACCAGATGGTTTAAAAAAATTTTTCCAAAAATTCTTTTAACATGCTGCTCAAACATGATTGCTTAGAAAAAAAAAAGAGCATATACAGGTATGATACATCAAACAGCGTGAGGAGGCCTGTAAACATTCAACTGATATTTTCTTTCTTAAAAAAAAAAAAAAAAAAAATCACTGAAGTGAGAACTCATCTCTATTCCGCAGCAGTATCCAAGGTCCTTCACATCTCGACAATGAAGAACAGATGCCCCTTCCCCTCGCGTGAGCACGACCGGGCCGAGGAGTCCATGGGGCCGCCACTGCCCCGGCTAGGCCGGGGCCGTACCTCTGCCAGAGCCCACGGGCGCCGGGCCTTGTACCCAGGGCCACGTGCCGCACACACCAACCCGACGCTGCTCAGTGAGACTTCACGCCGACGAGGACAACAATGAGGACAATGATGATGACAAGTAATATTAAAATCACAAGCATCTTCCGATTCTTCTTTTGATACTGCTCTGCCTACAGAAAGAGGAGGGAGAAAAGGTCGTCATTCTCTCCAAAATCAAGTCTGGCTTGTTTCTAGTCCTAGCTTCTGGCTGTACCCGCACACCTGACACCTCTGCCACCAGCTTCACCAGCACAATTGTTGCTATTAACTCCTAGGGTCCAGTCGACTCCCATGGCCCCCGAGTTCCCTACCTATAGGCTTCACAAATCACCTGCTGGGAATCCACCATCACCTGAGGGCCACGGGAGAAGTCCAAGGCTCTGCCTTCAGCTCCACACAGCCCACCTCTCCTCACATCCCCCTCCACCAACCACAAGGACCCAGTCTTTCTACGGAAGCCTCTTGCTTCCAGACACGGTTCTCTGAAGGTACGCACAGCTCCTTCATTGAGAAGTCAAACTTCTGGCTCCAGTGACCCCAGCCAGAAAGGAGAGAATTGAGGGCCCCAGAAAAGCTCTTCTACCTCTTCTGAGTCTGCAAACAAGAAGAAATTCATCCTTGGAAGTACTGAGTTGGACAAAAAAGTTAATTCAGGTTTTTCCGTAAGATGCTATAGGAAAACCCAGACAGACTTTTTGACCAACCCAACAGAAACAGGAAAGTTGCCCCATGGGGTCAGGTGCAGAAAGAAACCACCTGAGATGAGTCATCCTGTGTGTCTAGCGACACACGCCTATCGTGCCGGAACGTGACCCAGGGAAAGGAGAGGGGAGGAGACAGTAGCGAAAGTATCCCTGAGCACATGGGGAGAGCACATTCCCCACACTCCTGTAGGCAGCACCGCCTCACGGCAAAGGTGAGGGCAAAGATGAAAGTGAAAGCAAGGAGGAGATAGCTTGAGGGCAGCGCGTGCTCGGAAGGCCCAGCCTCCCGTGCCCACTTCCCCATCCCCACCAACCTTCTGACCAGCAGTTCTGTGTCCTAAGTGAGCCCTCCCATCCTCCAGGAGCCACTCATCCACAGGAGGAAACCTCAGGACACGTTCACCTGTCTGGAGAGCCTGGCCCGGAAGAAGTGACTCCAAGGCCCCCACCAGCCTCAGATGAGCCAACCGCCAAGGCAAAGGCCAGCGAAGCCCGAGAGAGGACAGTACGTGCTCACTCTTGTAGTCAGTAATCACCACTGAAACTGACACCAGGTGATATACTTATTTAAAACCTCTCAAAATGATTTATAAAGTCGAACCTTAAACAAATTTTTTAGTTCCCACTGGATATGTACACCCCCGCAGAGAAAGCTTTTCCCCTTTATCTCTGTTGAATTACAAAACATGTTTTGCTAGTTTTTATTTAAGAAACTTCAAAAGTGATGCATAATTCAACAGCATATGAAGGCCCAGATATTACCGAGTGAGAAACTAAAGTTAGCTTTCACATTTTTAACACATAAAATGCGGCAACCAAATGAACCGAATGCTTAAAAAATTAAAAAGCCTCCTGTGTCCACAAGGCAGACCTCCTCTTTCTCAGTGTCTGCTGGCGTCCCACCCACTACCACCCTGCACATGGTAACAAGCATACAGAAGAGGAAGGTGAGCGTTTCTGGTCAGACCTGTGCGAGGCCTCACCTTCCGTAAACCTGACACCGCGGTCAGATGCGGTCACCTCTACCACAGGAAGTGACTGGTCTCAGAGAGATGATAGAGAAGTACATTAGTGAATCGAGAATATCACCATTACACATGGCTAAGAGTACCGCTGTCCATGAGGGGATGGACAGAATTTACTTCATCTGTGAAGTATTTCATTCCTTCTAAAGAAAACATGCACCCTATTATATATAAGAGTCACGCAGCAGTGTACATATGTGTTTCTCATGGTTGATTACAAGATTTTTAAAGATGTTTTCCATTTATTTTTAACAAACATCATGAAAAACATTCCAGAGACAGCCATCAGATTATTAGCAAAGAATGAGAAAGCTAATACTCTCACTTCAACAGACTACTCTCTCCTCAAGGTGGTACACAGATATACTGTGGTAATTAAAAGAGAAAATTAGATTTTTATCTTCTCCAGAATGAATCCCCACCAGCAATTCATCAGAAAAGTATCACAACAAGGGAGGTCTGAGTCAGCAGCTACCAGCAGACAGAATGCGCAACACGGATGTTAACAAATACCCACTCGATCGATTCCCTAAAACAAGAGGGCCTAGCCAAGGAGTAAAATATTTTCTAAAAGGAAGAAAACCACGACTCTTTCAGAGTTTGCTGTCACAGAAGGGGGTTCTCAGCAACTTCAACTCTGCATGTGGGGTGCACCGGGATTCACTAACTTCAGGCAAATGGCCACAGCCCACATGGTGGGCTCTGAATAACATGACAGGCTGCATTTTCACAGCCCCATCTAGAGCTGATGACAGAGGAAAGTGCCGGGGACAGTTAAGACAAAAGACAAGCCTCGTATGAATTCTTGATATGGGAAAACAATTCTTCAAATTCTCAGCCACTGAAAAATATGCCATTACCTTGTGGAGCTGTTTCAAGCCGTCTTCAGTTTTGATACAGGACTGCTCAACATTATAGTCGATTCTATCAAGGACAGTACCCTGGGTGATAAATGACAGTCACAGACAATCAACAAGCGCAACTGGGAAAATGGAGCTTCAGAAATGAGAGATGCAGATTGCAGGCATCGTCATCCACGGGATTATCTGCCCTGCTTGACTGTGGGGTAAAGGGACACCCTGTCAGCTCTGGAGTCCATCACCAAGCAGAGTGAGGTGCTGGGTGGCAGAGTGCCGCCGTCAGCTGCAGGGAAGCCCAGCTCACGAGAAGAAAATACTGACAAATTGAGGTTTCTTTCTTGGATTTGGCCACTACAGGATACTCCATATTCAGGCTTACTGGGGCTTTAAGAAATACATGGTTCAGTGGAAACAAGCTCTGAGTGGTGAAGGGCTTGCTTCTGTGCCCATCTGTGGCTTAAACTCGCAGGTTCAAGGAAGCAGAGAAGGCCAGTTAAGCCAGGACTGATTAGAACGAGGTCTGGAAACTGACTATCATGTCTGAACATCTCCACGCGCCTCCATGGGTCAGAGCAAACACAATTAGCTCCAACACACCATGTAAAATCACACATTCGCCTCCAGGAAAGTTTTGCTTGTAATTTTTTAATTGCTGAGTTCAAACAGGAAGAAGGGAACACCAGGCTCCATGGAAGGAGGGGGCTCTGAACAGAAGTGTGCTGCGTCGGGAGAGACGGCAGCACGAGCAGTTCCGTGAGAGCCCCGGGAGTAATTAACTTAACTAGATCTTCCACAGCCTCGTCTGCTCCAGTCTGCAGCTGGTTTCGGGGGATCAGGACCCAAATCCCCACTGGCAAGATAATAAAACACCCTAATCAGATTGTAACAGTGAACAAACAATCTAATTCTACTTGAGGGCTAGTGGTTCCAGTTGCTGTTACACAATAACCTGCCAAAATTAGATGGGAAAACTTATCCATCGTCAGAATCACCGCTGAGCGTGGACAGAGCCAGCCAGGCCCCCGGCATCAGGTGCTCCTGGGAGCAGCCCTGGGATGGAGGCAGAGAATGTGAGCACTGTCACGGACACCTGTTTCTCATCTAAGAAATAGTTTATTAGTGTTTTTATGGGGCATGACAAGAGTCTGTATATAATTTGTACACATATATACATACACACATACATAGTGAGTCGGGAAAATTCCCTGGGAAACGGCAACCCACTCCAGTATTCTTGCCTGGGAGAATCCCATGGATAGAGGGGCCTGGCGGGCTACAGTCCATGGGGTCACCAAGAGTCGGACACGATTGCGCACACACATTGTATATACACAGAAGGAATGGGTTCCAACTGCTTTCCTGACAAAAGTGCAGAATCGAAAAGCCTGGGGAAGAATGAGGTATCAAGGCAGGAGAGCCCACTGACGAGGCGGGTAAACACACACACCTGTTCTACGATCATGGCTCCCAGGTCCCTGAATATCTCGTTCAGGTCGGATATGGACTGCACGATCTGGCGGATCTCCCGCTCCCGCTCCTCCACCAGCAGCGTGTTCTGCTCCACCAGCACTAGCTGCTCATCTGTAAAACCCTAGCCAGACAAAGAGGACAAAATGTGCACATTAGAATTCTTCCCAAGAAAGTGATGGCGTGCCATTTTAGATATAACTTATAAGAAAACAAAATCTGAAACTATTTCTATAGAGCATATAACACACAAGCACTTATTTTTCCCTAACAAGAAAGATCTGATCTCCCTGAATCAGGGGGCTCTAAAGCATCACTGGCCAAAGCGGGGGACACAGAGAACCTCTTGTCTGCAGCTGCCCCAGGTCCAAGTGGCAAGAGCACCAGGGAGAAGCCCGCACGTCTCAGGGTTCTTCTGGGAGTGGGGTGTGCAGACTGCTTTCCAAAAGGTTCTGGAAGGCAGCTAACAGGGTCTCCCTGCAGTCTTTGGAAAGGAAGAAACAGTATGGCCCCCATGACTGTTCTCCCACCAGCTGCAAAGCACTTGATGGATGTGCACACCGCGCAGTGCCGATCCATCTGCATCTCAGGGAAGATAAAGGTCCGCTAAGAGAAGGGAACAGAGCGGAGCGCACATGCGCAGCAGGCGGGTCCGTGGCCCCGACACATACCCGGTCATACAGAGTATTATCCTCGCCATCGTCCATCAGCGGTACTGATGTAGCAAAAAAATGCTGGGATCTTTCCTCTCGATTCTTCATGCCTATCGTGGACAGGAATTCACTTTACTTGAATACGTAAACCATCCTGGTTACTGTTCCACCATTAAAAGGGGGTATCTAGAGTAAAACTCAACAGTCAAAATGGAGACATTCTTAGCCACTTTAGAAGCAGCCCTGCTCACCTCCAGAGGTGGGGGACAGTAAAGGACCACAACCATGCAACAGCAGGCAAGCATTCAGGGTTACTTAGGACAGAAATCACACTGCAAATGTGAACAATTCACTGGATGCCAGGTAAATGACAATGTAACATAATCATCTGAGACTCTCTAAGTGAAGCAGAAACATTTAACTGCTGTTAAAAAGCATTAAAAAATTAAGTATTTCTCTCTAAAAGTATCTCTGGTAAGAATTCCAAGTGGCCCTAATAAAATTTTAGAAGTAGTAAACTGAAAGCACAAATACAAATATGCCAGCTGTCAGCACGGAGAAGTAGCTTTTGGGGGAGCCTAAGGGGATATCATTGATTTGATTACAATGGCAATACAGAAAAAACCAGTTTATGGGTGCTCTAAATGAGGATGTAGCTGAAACCTGACTTCGCACTATTTGGGAAGGAAGGGAGGCTGGGAGAGAATGTGTCTGCTTTAACTATTCCCAGGTAAGGTGTTCAGACAGATAGGCAAATATGAAGCTTCAACATGATTCCAACTATTTTTATCCATTTATCAGCAGCTCCCACAAGCCTAACACCTAGAAAACGATAAGCTTCTAAAATATGCTAGATTGATTTTCGAATACTTTAAACTTGACAAAAGGGTAAGTTTCTCTTTTGTTTTTTTATAGGAGGACTGTCAATGCCCCATGGGGTGGCCTCAGTCTGGATGTGGCTCCCACCGGGGGCAGGAGGAGCTACTTTCTCTCCCGTGCGGTAGGAGGATATGCCAAGGCAAAGGACAAAACAGAGAACGAGCAGAAGAGGAGGCCAGAGACACAGAGCTGCCCCGTGCCCCGAGCGCTGGGACGCTCGTCACTCAAGAGCCTGGTGCGGGTGGACACTCACGTCGGAGGTAGCCGGACTGTGCGTGCCGGAAGCTGGTGGACAGCTCCTGCAGGGCCTGGGCCAGCGAGGCCACCACGTTTCGGAGGAGCCGCTCCTCCTGCTCCGAGCAGGCCCGGCGGGCCCGGCTGGGCAGCGCCTGTACCGCACGCTGACACCTATGGAAGAGCTGGGAGGACAGGGGGCGCTCACAGTGGGCCGGGGGCCCCGAAATGCCTGCATGCCAGAGTGAGACACACAGCGGCTCTGGCCGCACAGGTTGGCGCTGAGGATGGCCAGGAAGTCGGAGCTGAGCCAGACCCGAACAGATGCTGTGTGTGCACATGCCATGTGCATTGCTCCTCACAGCCTTCTCATTTAATCCCGACAGCCACCCTAACTAGGTATTATTATCATCATTTCCACTTTACAGATAAGAACACCGGGGTCTGAGGAGTTAAATGAGAATCATGCTACTGTTAATTGCTAAAAGCCAGGACCCAAAAGCTCTTAACACCCCAGGGCTTCCCCACCCACCATGCCCCATCTCTGTGCAGCAGCAACCCAGGAGGTGTAAACAAATGAAAAATGTAACTGCTTGTTTACACACTAGTCACACTGCTTTTTAAGATTTTTAAAGTATCTTTTTAAAAAGGCTTTATTGAATTTGTTACAATACTGTTCCTGCTTTATGTTTTTTTTTTTGGCAAGGGGGCATGTGGGATCTCAGCTCCCCCAAACAGGGATGGAAACCATGTCCCCTGCGTTGCAAGGCGGATTTTTAACCACTGAACCATCAGTGAAGTCCTGAGTCTCGTTATTTTAAAATTACTCAAGTTTAACATTTTACAAGAGACACTTCCAGGAGGCTGAGGTTCTCTGGGATATTAAGAGATTCAGTCTGGGCAACGGCTCCCCATCTGTTCAATTACAACTACCCTTTTTTTAAAAAAAAAAAAAAAACAAGAAAAAAATTTGCACACTAGTATACAATAGAAGTTACACATCTTAAAATCAAATGATTGAACTCAATAATGCTCTGAATTTAATTTTCAGATCCATCCACAGTAGTACTTAAGAACAATCAAAAAACAGTCCCCACTCCCGCAGGAAAAGGAGTGCAGATGCTGAAACCTGGAGGAGCTCAGGGCCTCCTGGATCCCTCTGTGAACTTCAACCTGGGAAGCGAAACTCTAGGACTCATTTAGCACTGTACCGTGGCCTGGCTTTTGAGAGGGTGAGGAGGGCGGGAGACCAAGTTCCCACCTGAGGACCCCTTCCCCCCTCACCTGTGTGATCTCCTGTGTGGTTATCTCGATGGCATGCTCCTGCTCACTGCTGTCATCCAGGGTAGGTCGGTTTAAGTGCTGGTCATGAAGGCTGGCTAACTCCTTCATCTTCTGTTTAATCCGCCCAACATCATACTGTATCTAAACAAATGAAATCCCAGAGCTCCACTCTCCCTCCAGGTGTCTGTCTGCCTCTGAAACAACCAGCTACACTCAAGAGTACAGAGCTCAGTCTTCAACCAACTCATCGTTGACTGAGCAACCTTTAATTCAAACCACCAGACATTCAAATACCACTCTTCCTGGTTACACAGTTCTTCAGTTTCTTTCTGTAATTCAGCTGTTGTTTAGTCACTAAGACATGTCCAACTCTTATGCAACCTCATGGACTGTAGCGTGTCAGGCTCCACTGTCCATGGGATTTCCCAGGAAAGAACACTGAAGTGGGTATCCATTTCCTTCTCCAGGGTATTTTCCCGACCCAGGGATCAAACCTGAGTCTCCTGCATTGGCAAGAGGATTCTTTACCACTGAGCCACCAGTTACTACTAAAACCAAAATCACAAGCATCCCACAGACACACACACCTTTCTTGTGGTGTGTGACCTGAATAATTCTAAAGCTAACACACTTAGAAGGACATGCATTCAAATGTAGCCAATCAATTTTTATGGCAGATATTTTAAAACATGTTAATGTTATAATTACCTCAATAAATAAGAGTGTGAAACAAACATTCCACTTACTTCATCCACTCCATCCACCCATTTAGGAGGGGACCGCTTTGTCACACCAATTGCGGCTTCTGGGTCTAAGCTAATGCCTGACACCAGAGCCATGCGATCATCAGCGAGCTACAAAGAAATAAAGGGACATTAAAAAATTATTCAAATTCAGTCCAGACAAGCACACTCTTACTCCATTTTAAACGTCGCTCACTAAGACACAGAAATAGAGGAGCAAATGCACTTGCCTGGGTTACAAACTTGCTTTTGATACTGCTAGGATATGGAACTGTTTTCCTATCTTTCCACGTACCACTTCTTAATTTCCTTGGACATACTTGTGAATATGAATTTGACTTGATCTGGCTTTGGAAATGTCATGAAAAAGTCAACAAGAGACCCTTAAAAGAAAAACCTTAGTATTGTACTATGACGGGATGGCATGAAACTCAGCAATTCATTTGATCAGACACGTTAAAAAAGAAAACATTCTAGGCTGTAAATGGAACGAACAAAAACATTTCAAGGTTTACTTACAGACACTTAGCTTATTTCGTAAATAGGGCTGATCCAGGTATCTTAGTCACAAGATCATTAACCAGGTGTTAAAATGCGTGGAAGAGCTGCCTAAAACAGCCAGCAAGTTATCTACCATTTGGCAAAAGCAATCCTTAACATCTCAAGGCAATCTTACACTCATTCCTTTCTTTGGTTAAATGTCCACAGGTAGCATTTTCCCTTATTTTCAAATGATCTCCATAGTACTTGTTTATTTTACCTATGTAATACACTGCCTTAGAAAGCTTTTAAGAATGGGAGGGAAATCACAGGTTTGGTGTGGTTAAACTGTTCTATTGCCTGGAGGCAGTGAACAGCTGAAAGGATCTTGAGGTACCCCTCCAGAGTTCAGAATTTAGAAATGCCAGTTTCAAAAGATACAAATGATGATCAGAAAATAATGGAAAACAGCATATAAAAGTCTGCTACAGGTAGGACTTTGTACATTTTCTAAATCACACTGCAGAACTGGGTAGAGAATGTATATTGCTTTTCTTCACCCCTCCCTGCATTTATCTAAATTTATTTTTTCACTCATTCAGCAAATACTGTTTTTTTTTCCCCTAACAATAAAGGAACAAGGCAAAATTTTTAACATCCTCGGATGAAGGGGGTTAAAAAAAAAAAAAAATCACATAAGGAAAAGCCTAAATCAAAAGAATTCTTCAAGCAACAAGCCACAAACCCGGAACAGGGAGATTACAGCAAAATTCCTAAAAGCACATTGGAGTCTTGCGTCCAGCTCTGTCACAGCGGGGGAGGCACTGCCCCCGCTGGCTCAGGGGGCGCGTCTGACGCAATGCCCACGCTGAAGGGACCAGCCGCCCCAGCAGTGCTCCCCGGCATCTGAATCGTGATCAGGCCCAGCGCCTTCCGCAGCGGCGTGGACCCTGCAGGGCCAGTGCCGTTTCAGGTCCTGAACAAACGGTGCGTCACCCCACCTGCGCTATCGGGGCTCTGCGTCTGTGCTGTGTAATTCTCAACCACAGCCACCTTGTTTGTTTTTAAGAGTTCACTAATAGGAATTTTACCTTCCTTTTATTATTTTAACCGTCACACAAGCTAGGTGAGCTAGGGGCTATTATTCCAATCTATAAATGAGGAAATTGAAACCCAGAAAAGTTAACTAGTTTGCCCAAGGTCACAAAGCTATTATGTGACAGATTAAAACCTGGGTTGACTGACTCCGGAAGCCCCAATCACCCCACCAGCTGCCAATCACTTTGGCAGGCCCATGAAATACAACTGCAATTTGCTAAGAAAATGTTATCAGGATAACAAGCCCTCACCTTCAAACAACAACAACACAAGACACAGTCCTCGGATCCATTTCCCACCAGAGACAACAGGGACCACAGGATAGGCTCAGCTGAGCACAGAGGCATGGACAAACTGGCCTCTGCAGATCCAGCCCCTCACCCCACACACAGCTGTGTATTCCTCAAAACTCCCCCCAAAGCCACCGAGAACCGTGCAACCTTGGAGTGGGCACAATGACCAAACCAAAAGTGACCAACCACAGACGACCACCCAGCACCTGCTGGCTGGACAGCAGGCACTGGGCACAGAGCTGCTGCCTAACTGGAGCAGAACTTAAACCTCCAGCTGTTCACACAAAGCAACACCTGTGGGTCATAGAATTTCCACTGTGCCAGTTTATCATCTAACACACTGCACGTTACTATTGCACCAAATCTCAGTAAAATAATAGTAGTAACTTGTTTTATTAAGAGATTCTAAACTCACAATTTTGTACTGTTGTGACTGTTAACCAAAATACACTAAACCAAAAAAAAGATACAGAGACAGTGTTTACCTAAGTTTATCTGCACAGTAGTAACTGGTATCAATTCTCTGAAACAAGTGAGAAATTTTTATAATTCACATATGAAGTCAGTTGAAGTGGATTCAACTCTTTCTTAAGCAGTATTTCGTTTTACCTAATAGATGTGTGTCTCCCAAAAATGCACATAAGAGAGTGTGCGCACACACACCCTCTTCAGGGGTCTCAGGGAAGCTTGCTGAGGGCCAAGGGGAGGCATAACTCCCCAGCTAGCCAGCCCCAGCTTTCCCACAGGTTGTATCAGGATTGTGCCAATGAGACAGAACAGCTGATTCTCTGAGACTAAAAAATTTATAAACAGGGAATAATTTGTCCCCTTTACGATATCATCTATAGCAAGAGTTTATCATGATAAAGAAAAGCAGCCTTAAAAGAAAAGTGTCATTTATTTGATCAGAATTGGCTTGTAATATGTATCACAGTATGTACCATTTTTTAATAAAGGCTGTTTTAGGAAGGGAAAATCTAATGGAAGGTAGCTGTCAATTAAAACTGGGAATATGAACATTAAAAAAATACATTTTAAATGCAAAACAATCACCCTTTCAACTTCAGAAACGTCACTTCCCATTTCAAGGTTTTCTCATTTTTAAGATCCAAAATATGTCCATTTCCGAGCTGCTATCCAAGTCAACTCAGGCCTGAAAAGCTGTCATGTTTCCACTCCCTCTACTTGCTGCTGTTCCATTCCATGTCCCCCCAGTGAGGAGACGATGATGGTCACTAAAGCTTTTCTTAGCGAACTTAACGCTTCTGAAGTTAAAAAAAAAAATCTTTCCATGTTCTTTAAATAAGAAAAAATATATAAAATTGTACTCATGAGAATTACGAATTTAAGAATCCTTATCTCTGTGATTTGTAACTCATGTCCTCTAAGAACTATAGGGCATGTGACCCCACTCCAGAGCTACCCAGCTCTACTGCATCCATGCAGGAAAATTTCAACGGTTGCTCACAATGGCACGCCGACAGGCTGCTTGTTCAGTTCATCAGAGTTATCGCTGCCCTTGGTCCACTTCAGACGTTGACAACTGTCCCTTTAAAGAACACCTGACAGCATGGACAAGTGCTTGATCTATGGATAGAAAACACACACACACACACACACACACACACACACACACGAACACAGTCTTATAAATCTTGCTGTTCCAACTATACAGCCTTCCTCCTCTTATAAAACCCGACCTTTACGAGAAGGCTGATTTAGTGTTCCATAAGATTAAGGCTATGCAAAGCCTCTGGAGAGATTAGAAAAGTCAAATATATCCACACACACATGCACACTCATCTAAAAAAAAAAAATAATAAACTAAGTTCAGTCATAATGCACTGGTAATAAGAACCAACACTGACAATTCTGGATCGTTTGCAGCAACACACATTTAGAAAGTCCAGAAGGGACGTTGACCAAGACCGCCTGGTGGCTCTGGTTTCCACCTGAGACAAGGTGGGCATGTACGTGGTGCAGTCAACTCACTGTGCTGGGATGGCTAACAGACGTTTAAGGCTGAAGAAACCTCCTTCCCTTGAGGGAGTGAGGAAGCACGTTGTATAAAAGAGTTGGGGGCTATCAGCACTACAGTTTTTTCCTTCTAATCTGTGATCGTTTTAAAATAGTGTTTACCTTTTCTGATTATGAAAGAATAAATGTTCAAGACAGCCATTATTTTACGTGTGCAAAAAATACAGAATTAAAAATTCTGACAACGCACCACCCAGATAAAATGTTGCTAGGTTCACTAACCTTCCTTTTCCCCCCTCAACTTTCATATACAAACTTAAAAAAAAAAAGTAGGAAGCAACTTGTCTGAACCCCGACTTTCAGCCCAACGACAGACGGCTCCCTGTTCCTCAGACACGGATACCAAGGGGCTGAGACTCCCCTTCTCAATGCTGCCCCCAGCAGGGGGACCAGGGAGCCTGCCCGTGCTGGCTGGCCAGCGCTCCGGCCACTTCACCCTGCCCTTCCCAGGCTATGTGGCTTGGGAACCTGATGCTTACATCTTGTAATTTTAAAAATCATTCTTCCTACGAATTAAAAAATCCAACATTTTGGGAGACCACTCTGTCTAAGGCCAGACACTGGGCAGGGGAGTGATGGGGGTGGGGTTCTCCTGGAGCACCCCTTACTTGTTTCTGGAGAAGAGCAGAGCCTGGCATCCCCAGGGTGCAGCTGATTTTCAAGGTGACTTGAGAAGGAGAAATGACAAACCCATGTGGCCACCATGACACAGTCAGGACAGTGTGCTTGGGCCTCACTGATACAGGGATGGCCTCCATTGGACCCACGTCGGGGGTAACTGAAAGCCCAACTGCACCCTGGCAAAGCTGGGACTCTGGACACTGTTCCCAACACACGGCCCCGCTTCTTGCTCTGCACCAAGCACGCAGTTGTAATAAACACACACTCATAATTAGGGTGTGAGTCAACGATAAATGCAATGAATGAATGAAGTAAACATAAGACATGTCATGTACAATTCACTCCATAACTGATATGCTGACTCTGGACAAAGGACAAGAAGGGGAAGTGAGCGGGTGGCGGGCTGAGGGGCCATGCAGCCCCAGAGTGGACAGGCTGGGCCTCCGGGCATGTGGCCGGAAAGGTGGCTCTCCACTCTGGGTCTCTGCTTCAGAACGCGGCAAAGAGAACTTGGGGTGGGGCGGGGGGAGCCAGCGTCTGGAACTTGCTGCCTGAAGAGGAAGTAGGAGAGCCTGGAAATAGGTTCAGACAGCAGAGCCCTCAGCAAAGATGACCCTGAAGAGCCGAGTGGGAGAAGTGTTCAAACTGAGGCCACTGTGGCTGTTTCCCCAGCACTGCCCCCCCCCAACCAGGGCACACTTCTTTTTGGGGGCCACAGGTCCCACATTTCCAAACCACTCAGTAAGGGCAGCACCCACTCCTAGGTGGATGGGTTTGGTTTTCAATACTAATTGGTTCTTAATGACTCAAGCAACAGACATGCATGGTTTAAAACTATTTGCCCGACCTAAGAAAACGGTCGGCAGTTTCCCTTCCACCCCAGGCTTCCTGGAAGTTGCCCATTGTCAACAGCTTCTTGTGTGTCTTTTCAAAAATCTCTTAAAAGTGCTCACAAGCCTGAATGTGAGTTATTTTTCTTAAAACATAAATAATTTTTTTTTAAAGAGTGGGAATTGCAGTATCCATCATTAAAAATCAGGCTTCTTCCCACGTGGCCGTGTATCTGGGAGCTCATTGCCCTGTAGGCCTGAGACAGGAACAAGCGAGGCTATACACTTCATGTAACCAGCTCCCTGAGAAGGATCTTCAGGCTGTTTCCCATCTGCAGTTATTATCAACAAGTAAGGGACCCCACTGGTTTTGAAGACAGTGGGCCTAACCCCACCTCACAGTCCATACTTCTAAATTAAAACAAAAACCAGGGACACCCTCCCACCCTCAATTTTAAAAGGGCCCTTTTAAAAATGTATATCCTGAGGAAGAGTATTTCCAACCCCTTCCTGGCTGAAACAGATAATAGAAAACACAAAACCAACCATCACAGTTCAATCTCTTTTTTCCTCCACGCTTTATTAGCACGACTGGAATAAAGTGCTGTGAACACGTACCCTCTCCATCTTCCGGGAGAATTGCTAATAAGTAATGAAAAGGCCAAAATCGTGCTGCTAGGAAAGGGGCCACGTAACCATTAGTCAGTCAGCACGACCCGAGGGTCACTCGCTCCGTACCGGTGACACCTCAGCAGACAGCTCAACAGGTCTGGTGGCTCTGGGGCCGGCTTCCTGAGGGCTTCTGCCAGACAGCACGTCCTCCTGCACCCCCCCCCCCCCCCCCCCCCCCCCCCCCCCCCCCCACGACCCCCCTGCACAGCCTGGGGAACCAAGGGAGCTTCGTGCATCATCTGAAAACAATCTGGCTGATTTTAAGTGGGAGAACGTGTTCAACCTTTACTGCCTCCAGAGTTGAGACACTTTCCCAAGAGTAGCAGATACTGTTACCAAGCCCTTCTCTAAATCATCAATTCACCTGGTGTGAAAACACAGTAAATGAATCCCAAGGATTAAATCGTAAAACACAACAAGAAGTAATCATGACAAATGCTAAAATATGTGTAAACTCTGTTAGCATTTTACATATGACCAAAGATTTCAGAGAAACAGGCATTAATTGTATACACTGACATTCAAAAATATTGAAAACACAATACCTCATCCAGCTCCTGAAGAGATATGTTGTTGCCATCAGCCCATCCAGTTAGGGACAGCAGGGGGAAAAAACCAAACAAACAAAGGATGGGGACAGACAGACAGATAAGGGATGGTCAGTTGAGAAAACACTGAGATTTCAAGCAACTCTAAAGTTGACTAAAAATACAGATCTACTAATAAAAGATTAAAAAAAAAATCTCCCCCTTCTAATTCTTCCTTAAAAAAAAAAACTATATCAGTATTTAATTTACTGTGTTTTTTACTTTTATTTACTGTGCTTGTTTTGGCAAAAGAGGTAGGAATCAAACAATAAACAATTGTAAAAGTTAAAATACAATAGAAATAAAACATACTTGTTTTAAATGCAATAAAATATAATGGTATTTCTATTTCATAAATGTCAAATAGCATATACAATATTCTAAATTTCCCTTAGGAAGACAAGAGAGCAAAGCTAAAACATAATTTCATTGTGTCAAATAAAAGTAAATTTTAGTGTGTAAATCAGTGCTGCAAATGCAGCAAAATCAGAACGTGAACAGCCCACAAGAATTGTCTATGGCCGTATTCAGATGATATTTGAGTGACCACATATGTAAGGGCTCTGCAAATTAAATCCCGCAGACACGGCTTCCTCCGTGGCAATAAGCAAGCCGAGAAACCACTTGTCCCCGGAGAGACACAGGTGGTACAAGAAAAGGAAAACTCTCCCCATTTGCTTGGCATGTATTATTATAAGTCTAGGAGGCACACTGTTACTATAAGGCTATTATTAAAAAAAGTAAAACAAAACCAAAAGGAGAGGTTTGTTTTTTTTTTTTTTAAGAGGAGCAGGAAGGAAGAAGCATCGGCAGGCAGAAGATTAAGTTTCAATTTAAAAGGAAAGGATCTTTTTACGATCAACATGGAACTCTATTTTCTAAACAGATCTTTACTAATGATAGATAATCTGAACAAATAGGTCCTTTTTTTCTTTAACAGTATTGATCACTGAAATACTTAGTGGTGAATTTCAATAATCAACTGTGTTGATTTTTTTTTTATCCTGAGCAGTAAATTTAGAAAATAAAAAAGACATAACTTCCTTATTTAAAAATTAATAGTGCAAATGAAACTGGTCTATCAGAGCCAAAATACTATTAAACAGTGACAGTAATAACAGTGTAACCACACAACATTCCTCCGTGTAAAAATTCAATTAGCTGACATTGTAGGAAGCTGAAAGGCTCCTTCATTCCTTCTACAGTTTGCCATGAGCAGAGAATTGTATTTCTGTGTATACCCTGCCACGACAGCAGTACTACAAGATGCTCATAGAGGAGACGGTGTCACATGCAAATCTCATTTAATTACCTTTTACTTTAATAAAAGAAAAACCTTTTTTTTTTTTTAAAAAAAAGCTAACATTTTCAGCATGAAAGCACTGAGGTGCTTTTATTAATAATACAAGACACAGGCAAAACCCCTAATTCGGTATCTCAACCTGCACATCTACCCATTTTGCAGGGGTTCCTTGGCGTCTCATCTTTGGAAAAGTATTACTGCAAACCCTGGTTAAGATCTCTGCTGCACAGGAGCCTGGCCTCTTGGATTATTAATGAAGCACACAGCCTGATCTCAGTCTTTGCAATTATTAGTTAACAAGAGGTGAAATCAGAATCTTGGGTATATTTTTCTTTTTTTCTTTTACAAATAAGAAAATCAAGTTTAGAATATATAAATTCATTTCCCCAAAGTCACAGGGCTGAGATTCAGACAGACCCAGGTGTTCAGGCCTCTTTCTACCCCACCTTCCAGTCTCTCTACTTTTACCAGCACTTCAGGGAGTTACTAGTGATAGGCAGCTACTACCACATCACGAACTAGATTCAGGAGATTATCTTTTTGAAGCACATCAATCCCTCCGACTTTGCTACTAAAATTAACAGGTTTTGAAACTCCCCCTGCCACCAATTCACCAGGAAACTTTGTCAAGACCTGAATTAAAACATTTAGAATTACCATCAGGAAAAACCAAAACAGAGCCAAAGAAAAACACGATACTACACATCATCACCTTCTAAATCTTTATAATGTCTAAATCTAGGCTTCTGACCTGCCAATGGCGTGCAATCAAGCAAATACTGAAAACTCCAAGCAGCATGTGGAATTTATAGTCTAAAGAACTTTCTACATAAAACTGAAAAATAAGTGGAAACCCATCTGTGTTTACTCAGGAAGTCTGGAAAAGTTGAGCAAAATGAGTTGGAAATACAGGTCTATGCTATAGTGATATTTACTTTATTTCCATTACTGCCAAAATAAAAGTTTGCTTCACTTTCATCCAACAGAGTACCCTTATTCTCAAGTAAGCCTCTCTGCTCAAATGGAATCTTTAGAAACAGAAAAGCAAATAGATCTAAAGAGAAATATACAATGATTTCATACTTGGATTCTAAAGACAGGGGACTAATTTTCCAACTGACTCGGCATGGACTAAAACTTAGAATCTTCAATGTGCAAGTTAAAATGGACTGGCGTGATTGTAAAGTGAGATAAAGAAAGATGTTATAGTAAAATATACATATATGTATATATGTGTATATATATATTCTTTTAAATGGGTTCTTCCTTTCTCCGGGACCTGCAGCACATGTCCGGGAAAAGCTGCCAGCACTCCTGTGGCCCGTTGGGCAGCAAGGGCTCAGGGCCAGGCCTGCCTGTGTTCCTACCCCAGCTCCCGGGCTCGCCCTGTGGGCCCCACTGAGCAAATTTCCTAACTCCTTGAAACCTGTTTCCCGATCTGTATCAAGAGAAAAAAACAGCAGCACCTGTATGATACAGCTCTGTGAGGACTAAGTGAGGCTACAAGTGCAGGACAAGCCCCAAGCCAGGCATATAGTCAGCACTCAATAAATCTTGGGCTAGTATCACTGTCAAGATTGAAGAAGGACTTCAGATTTCTTATAACGATATTTAACCTTCAGTCTCCCCCCCCCCCAAACACACCATGTGTTTTATTAAAAATAATGTGCTACTTTCAAACTAATCTAAGACCAATTAAGTTCAGCTTCCATTTATAGATTGTGTATTATTTTAAAGCAGAGAATAGATTAGGCAGTAAACCCTGACAAAGAAGCTCAAGTCCCCTCATAAGATCTTTTTCAGGAGATGAAAGGCAATCACATAGGTCACACAACACCTCATCAGATCAGAACAGCAACCCAGCATCTACCTGTCATTCGTTTAAGACTTTACATAGTTTTTCTTTTTTTTTGAGTGATTATTTAACACTATAAATTCTTAGCTTCCTAAAGCTAAGCTGCTTAAAGCTAAGCTGCCTGTAACTTTTTCAATGAGGTGTTGCCTTAAAACCTGCACTTGGCAGATGGAATGTCAAAGCTACTTCTCCACAGTGCTGGAGCCACTTTTGAGGATTTTTGCGGTAACATCTGGCTGGTGGACAGGGCAATGCTGTTGACTATGATTTCCTCCTTTTCAAATTAAAGCTAAGACTGCAAGGCTTGGTTAGGAGAAACAATGCATTAAAAGAGAATTTGAGAAAGCACTGCTGAATCCACAGGACTGCTTACTAGAAATCTCCCCTAACTCAAACCCTCAATTTACAAATCAGGCAAAAGATGTCAGAAGAGATTAAAAGCTTGCCCAGAGACCTACATTCTGAGTCAGCCAGAGTGTGACTTGGCCCTAAGTTCCCAGGTTTGGAGTCCAGTGCGCTTCCCTGTATTTCATGCTGCCCTGAGGCACAACCTTGATGGGCATCTGAAACTGAGGCCAAAGCAGAATGAATGGGAAATGGCAACAGCTGCACTTTGCTGGGAGTCTAAAAAAAAAAAAAAAAAAATATCAAACCCCTGGCCTTTCACAATTAGTTTTACTAATATCAACACAATGGGGAACACAGTTAAGTAGAATTTTGTTCAGTTCTGGGCGCTGAACTTTAAAATGCCCACGGGGAAAAAAAAAAAACAAAACAGAAAACTAGACTTCTTGCATAGGCAAGAAACTTAACTTCCCTGCCTGAGCCAGGATTGCTGAGTTACAAAAAGGTCCGGGGCACAAGCAAGCTGCACTGTTATCTGTCCTGCAGGAGAAGGAAGGGGCTTCCTGTGTCAGAGACCCTAGGGGCCAGGGCCATGGCTGGGATCACAGGATGCAGGACGCTGACAGATGGGGTTCACGGACGCAAGGACTCTTTGGTAGTGAGAGAGGTGGGAGTGATGCCTGCCGGAATTTCCTATCCCCATCACAGAAGGCAGTCAAGGCAAGCAGGCAGAGGGGTTATCACAGAGGGGATGTTGGGTCAAATGACCTTTAGGTCCCCTCCGGCCCTTCGGACTTTGTTTTGTCACTGCATATCCTCCTTCAATTCCTGCTTAGCTGTGACATATTTGCCTGAAGGATGCAAAAACCTGTTTTAGTGTGCATTTATAGGTGCACACGATGAACTGCACCACCCTCAACCACCAACTTCCAGTTTTTTCCTCCAACAAGGATGTAAAAAAAAAAAAAAAAAAGCCTGTTTAAATTTTCTAAAGAATATACAGTTTTATGTGAGCTTTGTTTTAAGGTGTGTCATACGCACATTCACGCACAAACACCACTTTCCAATCAATTTCCACTGCTTTCACCCAAAATGAAGTGAAAATTCAGGCTTAAAAAAAATTAGATGTGGTTTATTTCTAATTGTGAGATAATCTGCCCACCCCAAAATCAACTTCTACAGCCTTTTCTTCTAACTAGAAAGTAGAAATCTCAGTTTATGATTTTTTTAATTAAGTTACACACTAGAGCTTTGTTATTTCTTTTTTAATTACATGAGTTTTAGTAAATATATACAAATTGTATTTTGTCTTACTTGTGTTTTCAACATGACAGGTATTTATTTTTTAAGTTTTTATTTATGCTTTTTCAAGCACCCAGAAAAGTATGTAAAATGGCACAGCCTCCCCTGAAATACTCATCAGGAGACTTAACAATTAGTAAGTAACACTCTGCCTTATTGTTTCCTTTATTGTGTGTGGGGGGGTGGTGATTAACTATATAAAGTAAGTGATATCTGGACATTTCAATAGTAAACATTTCAGTAGATCTCACTAATAAATCTAACACATTTATTGACTTTTAATTAATTTCTTAATATCACCTAAAACCAGTCAAATTTGACAGCATTAATTTTCTTTGATTTGCTACAAGATTTTGAAATTTACAACTCAGAAGCGAGGTTTTTAAAATTTGTATGAGCTAGATATGCAGTTAAAAATATTATTTAATAAAGTTTAAAAAAATTGTGTTAGAGATGGCTTTTTCCCCAAAATATTTACAACATTTTTTCAACTTGAAGAAAAGCTGAAAATATTATACCCTCTCTGCAGTCATGCTGTCTTGCCATATTTGCTTCTGTGTGTAAATGTAGAAATGGTTTCTGTAGAATCAATTGCAAGCAAGCTGAAAATATAATAATTCACCCCTAAACACTTCAGAAATCTATGACATGCCATGTGTTTTTTAATGCACACAAAAAATATATAAACATGTGACTTATTTAATTCTAAAGTTAGGCAAACCATGTTTGTTTAATTGCAAAATCTATTTTTAGATAATCTGAATTGACTACAAGGATTTTTTTTTAAGGACATTTTAAAAGATCTTATTCTTATAAGGATCTGAGAAAGATTTTAAATAGTCAAACCAATATACATAACATTTTCAATGGTATATTAGGTAGAAAATATTTTTTAGTGTTCTGAATTAGGCATGTATTTTCAGTTTGACTTAGAAATCTATTTTCAAGAAAATGTCTCAGTTAGCTAAATATACCTGTACATTTTCTGACATATCTATTTTTCCAACTTGTACACATGAGCTATATATTTTAATTATATGGTTTAGTTATATATATATATATATATTTAAAATTACCTAAGAAATCCATTTAAAAAATAGGTTTTATTTAGAGATGCACCTTTAAAAAAAGGCCGGCTCAGACATCAGGTTTTTAAACTGTCTGACCAAATGGTTAACAACAACAAAAAAGCCTCACGTTATCCTATGGTTTAGTGTATTCTGAACCTTATATGGTTAAAAATTTTAAAGCAAACACGTTTTAAAATCAGTTAAAAACTAATATTTTAGAAATATTAATATGAGTTTTAGTTGTTTTTTTACTTTCTACAAGGTAGCATAAAATCAAGCCATTTGAGGAAAATGCAATTTTTAAATCTTAGCAAAACTAAGGTTCATTGAGGATTTTTTTCCCCACTGAATTTCTACTCTCTATTTCTTAGTTTATTTCAGGACATTCTTTTCAAAATTAGTGCTGGAATTAGCCTGTTTTCAATTTTGCACTTACTTCAGTATATTACCTTTTTTTTTTTTTTTTCAGTTTACAAATGTAAAAAATCTTCAAATTCTCAAGTAACTGAAAACCTACACACACTCGGTCAGTCCCTGTTTTATATGCTTTTTGATTTAAGTTTATCGTGATTTTATTCCTAAAGCTGCTCACACAGTTTACAATAGCTTTTCTACATAAGCAAGATGGACAAATACATTTTCCTTTTGTGATTAACAAAAAGGAAAAACTGTCTTTGTAGGTGCTCTGTCAATAATCAAGACAGATGGCCAATTTTTTTGTGAAGCATTTAGATCAAGTCATAAAAAATTTAAAAGGAATATAGTCTGTAACAGGTGAAGTAAGTGTCAGAGCCCCAAAACTGCTTATGTCAAGCATAATCCCCAAGAATCCAGTCTTGGGGTGATTTTACTCTCCCCACAATGCTGCTTCTATTCAAACCCAACCTGTCTACAGCCAGGAGCCCCCCTTACAAATTAGTTTCATATCTTTTCAATTTAGGCTACCCAGGGCTCATCATCACCCTCTTGTTTAGACCATCTGCACCCACTTCCTTGTTCAACAGAGCAGGAGACTGAGGTTTGCACTGGGAAAGTAGCCCTTTATCATAAACAAACAGGAAAACAACAGTCTTCCTTCCAGGTCCTCCCTCTAAGAGATTCTACAGCTGGGCTAAAGAAAGGTTCAGGTTAATTAAATCAAAACGGTGGACTATTTGGGGGGTTAATTTTCACATACACACCACGTTCGTTTTAAAAAGTTCTTATGGAAGAAAAAGCTTAATTTCCTGTTTGGGAAATAGAAAACGAAGAAGCAAGCACCTTACAGCCTCACAAACAAGAACCCCCATGAAAAACAGCAAAGCAATTATTCACAGGGAACACGGGCACACAGAGGGCTTCGAGACCATTAAAAAAAAACAAAAAACAAAAAACAGCCCCCCCCCCCCAAAAAAAAAACCCAACTCCTTCCTCTCTAGGGAGGGCATCGTTCATTTGCAAGGATTTGGATCTGCCAGCCTGCAAACCGACCATCAGAACCAAAGTGAGGCTGTCTGCGGGGGCGGACGGGGGAAGGAGGGGGGCGCTTAAAACAAAACGGAACAAAAAGGCTTCAGGAAAAAAAGCCTCCAAATCTCAGTGCTAAAACATATGTAAATTGGAGGCGCCGGTCGCGCGGGGACAGCCGGGGGGGTAGAAGGGGGAGGACGAAGAGGGATGCGGAAGTGAGGAGAGCGTGCAAGGCAGAGGTGGAGCAGGATCTAGATGCTTCTTCCCCAGCCAGGGTTATCGAAGCTCGCGGACCCCAGCCAACAGACCCCGCATTTCCATGCTAGTCTTATCTTCTTTTTTAAACAGACAGACAGACACAGACAGACAGACAGGCAGAGCCGCAGTGCACACAGGGCGTGTGTCGGAGAGGCCGCCTGGAGACTCACCGCAGCAATGCTACGTGAATGCAGAGGGCTGGAGGTGGTGTGACTACTCACTTGCTCGGCTAACAGCTGCCGGTTTTGGATGGAATTATTCCGCAACAACAAGAAAGCGTCGGTTAAACGCCTCGTGGCCATGTCTCACCCTTTGTGACCCCCAGCTCAGGGGCCCCCTGCCCACTTAAGAGTCCAGGTTTATTCACTCTTGGCCTAGCCTGGTCCCCTTCGCAGGCCTGCAGCCAAGCAGGTGCTGCTCTGTGCTTCCTCTGAGCGCAAAGACCCCTCCCCAGCTAACACCTCGGCTTTCCAATTGTCTGACTCCCCCTACCCAGGGCCAGCCTTCGATCTCTAAGCACTTGAATCCCCCCAATCCTAGCGTTGCTAGCCAACTTCCCAGAGACCCCTCCCCAATCCAACCTTGGATCTACAAGCGTCTAACTGGCCAATCCGGCTTTGGACTGGGAGACTCGGAAGCCCCCTACCACATCAGTCTCTCACACCCCCTAGGGCCCGAACCTCCTATGTCTAACTGGGCTCACACGCGTCTGGGCCGTGCTTTCAGGCCTGCCTCTGGCTCAGTTTGCCCTCCAGAGGCCTGAGAGGCCTGCTTGAGGGCCCTCTTTGGACAACCGAGCCAGGCCTGGGCCCTGAAGGCCTGCTGCTTCCTGCTGGGGCCTGGTCTGAGCCCTCTAAGGCGGGGGCCCCGACCTCCTGACCCCTTCCCTTTATGGGTGGCCTGGTCCTCCACTGCCACAGCAGGCTGCCGGCCTCCAGGAGGGCAGCAGAGCCTGCTTCCACGGCCTCCTCACTCCTCTTCTCCGGCTCCCTCCATCCCCGGATCTGACTGCTGCTCAGCCCCGGGGCCGTTTCCGTGCTGTGGGTCCCGGGTTCTGGCGTTCCCCCCTGGCCCTCTTCCTGTCCGTCTCTCGAGAGTGCCCCCCTGCGACGTTCACAAGGCTTGCTCGCAACGTTCCGGGCGCGGGAGATCCCTACCCCCCTGCCCCGGGGCACAGGAGCGCTCCGCCCTCTCCCGGGGCGCAGCCGGGACGCTGGGTTCCCCCTTGCCAACTGGGCCCAGGCGCTGAGAGCGGGCCTTCGGGCAGGCCTGAACCTTGAGAACGTGGGCCCCACGTTGCAAACAACTGCCAGGGGCCTTGGCGCGCTTGTCAGAGTGGAGTCGAGCGGCAGGCAAATTTGGGCTCTAGCAGAGCCGAAGTTTGAGGCACGCGGAGTTGGGGCGGGAGAGGAAAAGTTGGAGACGACTGCCTCTTGGAGGCCGAGCACGCTCCACTGCAGGCGGCGGCTCGCTCTCGCTTTGGTTTTTTTTTTTCCAATTCTGAAAAAGAAAAAAAAAAGGTATCAGGAAAACAAGCGTGTGGGACCCCCGCCCCCAGCACTTGGTTGCGGACTCGGGTTGGCGGGATTTGGGCAGGGCTGCGCTGGGGCGCGTTGGAATCGAGTCGCCCGAGCCCGAACGCGGCAAGCAGGGGCCAGGTGATCGCCCCTCGAGCGAGGCCCGAGTCCTGCGGGGTGTCCTGCCCGGGGCCACACCATGGGCCGTAGGAGGCCTCCCTACTGGCCGCACGAGGTCACCCCCGCAGCGCCCAGAGGCCGAAGCCCTAGCCAGAGACAGCCTGGGCTGGGCGCGCGGGCCCGAATGGGTCGGGGTCGTGGAGCTGGGCAACCGCGCCTCCCCAGGGGCTAGGAGCTGGGGCGGCACCGGGTTCCCCTTCCCGGGGCAAGCCGGGACCACCGTGGGGCCGCCGGGCCGCACTCGAGAGTGTAGTCTTAACAAAGGAAAATCGCCCCGGCACCCGGGAACGGCCCCGATCCCCGCAATTGTTTCCGCATGAAACAAACTTTACATACACACGTGCATTTTCCGAGCGTCTTCCCCGTGCTAAGCGCCGAGTTTGCAAAGGAAAGATAGCAAACAAGGGAAACACAAAGCCGGTATCGGCGCTCACAAAGGGCGGCCGCCGGGCCGGCGCGGAGACCAGCGCGCGGCTGTCAGCAGCACCCGCGGGGCGCGGGGCGAGGATCCCGCCGGGTTTCGCCGCGTCGCTGGAGGCACCCTATACATACATATATACATACATACATACATACATATAATTTTATTTTCTAAAGGAGAACGTTTCTGTGCATCTGTTGTGTAACTAAAAATTACTGTGAAACCTATCTTCAGGAGGGAAATGTCCAAATGCATAAAAAGAACCCGGAGAGCCAGAGAGCAGGGCTGGCGCGTTGTTTTGGAGGAAGGGGCTGTGGTTTCCGGAGCCGGGCTGTGGGCGAGGGGCATGAGCAGGGAAGGGGGCTCGTTCGCGGGCTTTCGCGGACGTTGGGCGATGCCCCGGCGAGACAAAACCTCGCCGCCCCGTGTCACCGCGGACAGCGAGCTGCCTGCCTCTCCGAGCCGGCGGCTGCGGCGGGAGAAAGCCGCTGCTCCAGAGACAGGGACCCCGGTTATCTCGGGGAGGGAAATCAGGGAGCCTGTGTGCGGACCCCCGGCAAGCTCGGCACCCCGGGACATATGTGCCTGTTTGCCGAAAGAGGGACAGTCCTGTCCCCACCCACAACGCGTGCGATCCCCGCAGTGAGACCTGACCCAAGGCGCACGGCTAAGCCCCCTACTCCTGCTTCGGAGAACAGACAATGTAAATAACAACCGAGCCGGTGTTAGGCAAGACATCAGATAGAAACGTGGTCGGCGTCGTGTTCCTTTCTCTGGAGCTCTCATCACCTTGCAAAGCAGGGACATGTTTACTTGTGGCTTTCTCCCCCAGGCTAGAACGCGATCTTCTTGCCTGGCGCCGTGTTTTATTCATCTTTGTACCCTCGGCCATTACATTAACTTGGTACTAGGCTTCGGATAAATGTTTTTTAAATATGTGCATGAGTGAATTGGAGACCTGAGATATCCTCCACAAACTCTCTGACCGCCCTGGAGTGACTTTAAGCCTTTAGAGCCATTAACGGCTAGGAAGGGGAAAATGTGGGGTTTTAATAATCCATGTAATGTGTTCCCTGTCTTCCTCCCCGGGGCTATTGTGAAGATCCAACAGGCTAAGTGAAAACCTTTGTCAACTATCAGGTGCTGAGCAAATATTATATAGGATAGCTGTTCATTCATTCCCTTTGCTGGGAAAGCTTTACAGACTCCTGGGCTTGTGTTTTAGTAGATGGTGGTCGCCCTTCCTGGTCAGTCTTAAATGTTTTTTGCAGGACAATCTTGTTCTTACGTTTAGGAAATCAATCAAGCTTCCATTTCTTTGTGAGAAATGAACAGGCACTTGCTCACATAAATAATGGAAGAAAAATCCTCGTATTCCCAGAACAGCCACCTCAAGCAACCCAAGAGCCCAAGAGCACGGAAACCATGAAGCATCCATGAGATTGGCATAGCAACCCGAAGGCAGCACCGTGCAGTAAGAATCCGGCTGCATCCAGGCATGGGATCGTGTGCGTGAAATAGTGTTAAGTGAAATGGAAGCCCTGGCTGGGACACGCACCCTGGTATAGACCATGTCCAGTCTGTGTACACCCTGACCCATACTGGGAGTGAGGTGGGTTGGTGGGGGGAGGATATAAATCATTATATTTGAATGTTCCTTGGCTGTTTTATTTTCCTGTCAAGTGGCTTAAGCCTGACTTTTTTTTTTTTTTTTTTCCAAGCATTCCCTCATGGCCAAGTATGTGTTTCCTTGGAATTGAAATCTGGGTTGATGGTTTTATATTTTAAAAGCTTTCTTTGTGACTCATTCTTGGCCTGCGATAGGATTCTGTAATACTCCCCAAGCTCACAGAGCCTGGGTGTCCTGTTTCTTGGGCTTTGTACCCACTTTCTAACATTTTGTCAGTGGATCCAAGAAGTCACTTTGGGAGACAAGTGTTTCATTGTCTTCTTGTCATCGTCATCAATGCGGAAGGGAACCATAAACATGGACTTTCCCAGCAGAAGACAGACAATGGCAGAGGCAGGAGGAGGTTTTCAAGTGCTGACAGGTTAGTGGTTGGACAAAATGGGTCAGCAGGGCGAGACCCACACCCTTCAGGGAAGACATTTAGATGAGATAGGGCTCACGGAGCCCTCACTCCATGGGCCAGCACGTAGTAAGTGCTCCTTATATGGCCATGTGGTTGACTTCAGCAGCACAAAGGTCACACAGGCTACACTCCCTGCTGGAAAGCTTCACAGCAAACTCCAAAGTGTTTGGAGTATGGGGGTGGGTCCTGAATACCTTTTAAGATTCAGATTCTATGGTTTAGGAATCCAGATGTGTCTAAACAGGTGGAAAAAGGGTCGAAACAGTCTCAAACGGACACCTTTTAACTTGGGCCTTCCTAGCTCCTCTTGGAAGACAGATGGTCATTGTTTTTTTTTTTTTTCCCTAAATCAGGATGAGCAACAGAAGCCCCCGAGTCTAATGAATGTCTCATTTGCACAGATCTGACATAACAGGCAGATTCTGGCCAGATTCAGGAAACAGGAGCTTTGTGTTCTGTCACCCCAAATAGCTCCTCAAAACCCTGAGCATTTCCAACCTCTGGAAACTCCCTAGCTCTGTCTGCCTCTAGCCACGACACCTCTCATGAGCAGAGAGATGCCGCAGAGAGGCAAGTTTTGTTTTGTCCAGACTCCATTAGGTTTTTAAAGCAGACAATTCAATTCAGGAAACATTTCTAAAAAATCTTCCAGTGGCTCTGCCTAGCTCTTGCCAGGCACTGCTAAAAGGGCTGAAACAGAGCAAAACTCTTGCCTTCAAGGAATGCAGCCTCCATTAACTCTGCCCAAATGCTGGTTCTCATCGTGTGTGTTTCTCCAGCAGCCTAACACATGCTCTCTCTTCCCTCCATCCATCCTCTACCCTGCAGCCATGGTGACCTTTCCAAAGCACAAATCTCATCATGTCACCGCCTGATTGAGGCTCTGAAACAGCTCCCTCTGGCCCATACCAGTGACGTTCAGCAGAAAACAGGTGCTCTCCAAGCCAGGCCATCGCTAATAGTAACTAATGATGGTCTTTGCTTGGTTGGCAGAAAAAAATTAAGCTAATTGATGGAATAGTCTTCCATGTTAAGTGTCTCTCCCCCTCACTTTTTCTTAAGCTTTTGGTCCCTGCTACCCCTTGGCTGTTTAGAATATAGTATAAGACTATATCTGATTTATTCCAGAATCACGAACTTTACTGAAACTGTCTTTTCACATCTCAATATTTCCTGGGAACTTCCCTGGTGGTGCAATGGATATGGAACCGGGTCTGGGAAGATTCCACATGCCTTGGAACAACTAAACCCATGTGCCGCAACTACTGAGCCCTAGCTCTGGGGCCTGTGCTCCACAACAAGAGAAACCACCACAATGAGAAGACTGTGCATTGAAATGAAGAGTAGCCCTGGCTCGCCAAAACTGAAGAAAGCCCTTGCAAAGCACCAAAGACCCAGCATGCCCAAAAATAAATAAATAAAAATTTTAAGAAAATGTCCTGCTGTTCTGCATGTATGTGTTCTAATGGTGGGGGGTGCCCTGGGAGGGAGGCCAGGCATTCAAGACCCTTCCCAACAGCCCCTACCCCTCAAGCAGTGTGCTTGTCCCTCTCCAGGCCTTGGCTCATGTGGTTTTCTCTGCCTAGATTGTGGGTCTTTCCCCTTTTGCTTTGTGAACATTTCCTTCATGTCTTAGCATCACCTGTTGTCTAAATGTCACAAATGTTTTTGGAATAGATGAGTGGATGGATTGACAGATGGAAAGATGAGAGGAAATATACTCGGGACCAGCATACACCAGAAGGTCAAGTCGCCCGCCTCTGTCCCCACCCCTCACTCACCTTACTCCAGCCACATTGGCCTTCCTCCTGGTTCTCAAACCACCTCAGAAGTTGCTGTTCCTGCC